GGTGAGCAATTTGGGAAGAGAATTATTGATAGACTTGCTTGCGATAGGGTCGTGACTCGGCTACCGTATCTCCATAGCCAAATTGCAGTACCGGGTGGTCCACAATTATAGCGCCGCATTTCAAGCGGCCTACATTGACCTAGGTTAGGTCAATAGTGATGGAAGTCATTTGCTGGAATAGCTCTTAAGTTTATCTCCTGAAACGATGCCCATTATCTAATCAATTCAAGCTTTCAACTTTTTTTATATGAGCTTCCAAAGTTCCAAAGTTTTATATGAGCTTCCAAAGCCGGTCCCGACGTACCCAAGTGGTACGGTTGTTGTCTGCTTTAGGCTTTAGGCTCAAGTCAAGTTCGCGAGGCTTTTACTCCGTTATTTTGTAGTGTATCTTTGAGATAGAACGTGTCCAAACAAGTTTGTTCAAATGCAAATGTTCCAGGAATCTCTGCATTGATCTACTTGGCCCTCAATCACAGTGTTCGCCAATTCTACGTGGGCAATCGAGTCATTCATTCATCGTATATCGAAGACACAAACAAAATCACGAAACCAACATCGAGCTCTTAATTTTACAAAATTTTACTGATAGACTCCTTTGTGTTCAAAATGCTTTCTGGTTTAGCTTTTTTTTATTTTCTGTTTCCAAAAATGTTTAAATATCAAATACTTCTGAGGATTCTGAAGGTTTAGGGTTTGATTTGATAGCTAAAAAGTCAAGAATGAATCAAAAAAGATTTTTCTCATGCTCGAATCAAACCAGCGACAATCGAATCTGTTTACTAGACAGCCACTGAGCCTAAAAGAAGATACATTCAATAGATCTTGATACATTGAGAACTTTACTGACGGATGGATAGGTAGCTCTTCAAAATTGAATGTTTTTGATTTTGACAAGAACTTGTTATTGTCAGTGATACAAATCTTTGACCGAAACAAATGACACCACGTGCTGATCGGTATCTCATCTGCCAAATTCAATTTGACTCTGCTAGTTCTTGAATCTCATCAGATAGACCTTTCCCACTTTTTTCCTATTCTTGGACCATGCAACTTTCGGGGTACAACTTCCGTTCTCAATTAACAATTTCAAGGCTAATTGTACTTTTGAAAATATTTTTCGAAGCTATTGATTCAAAAAATTAATTTAAAAACCTTTTCATCCAAAAAATCAATTAAAATCTGCTGAAAGAGCTTGTTCTTTAAAATTATCAAAAGAATTTTCAAACACAATTGTGCAGAAAAGTAGCTCTTTCCTGTGAAATCTTAGTTGATGCTTTGACTTTGAATCCCTCTGACTCTCTTGTCCTTCCTCGAAGGATCGTTTGTGTGATAAAGAGAGACGGAGCCCACTTTGTATTTTTTTCTTTTGGCTTTTGAAATACGGAACCAAAGATTGATTCTATTTATTGTATTTTCTCGCTAGATTAGTGATTGTGCTGCATTCGGAATAAAATATTTAAATAATCGTTTCCTCATCGGTTCAGGTCACAGGAGTGAGAGGTCACACGCACTGCACAACAATACGCTTTTCGATAATTTTATCAAAACATCTACCTGTGCAACGCCCAAATAGAAAAGTACAAAAGCTTGTAATACGAATAGGAAACATTGAGGAGAACCGCATGTTGAGTTAAACCGACAAAGTGAAGAATTTGGACATAACCTTTCCCTAAATACACTGTGGTGCAAAAGTCTTGTCCTACTTACTTTTCTAAAAAGTTTCATCAATTTTCTTTGATAAAGTTCATGGCCCTCTTTAAGCCATTAATGGTTTTAGTTACACAAATATATTTACAATTTATGTACACAAACGTTATCGCTACTTATTCATTGAGAAAAAAATATAATTGTCAAAACACCCCTGAAAATCGTGGTGCAAAATTCTTTTCACACAAAACGAAATTAAGCTTTAATCAACATTTAGTCGCTCCTCCTTTTTGCCAAAAGTACTTCTTTAATACGAGTAGGCATCGATGCAATTAATTCATCAAGAATTCCAGGTCCAATCGTCCTCCAAATTTTTCTGATGTAAAACCATAGCTCGACTTTACGATTGAACCGTTTTCCTCGCAATTTTGATTTCAAATAAGCCCATAAATTCTCAATAACATTTAAATCCGGTGAGAATGGTGGAACCTTAATTAAAGAAACGTGATTGATTCCAAACCATCCCGGTAAATGTGCTTTTCCTCCATTCGAAATAGGCACAACGCGGCCTATCAAAAGTTTGCTCTTGTGTACTGGCGAATTATCTTGATAAAGAAACCATCCTGGATTCATCGAAGCAGTCGCAAATGGAAGTAGACACCTGTCCAATATCTCAATATATTGGCGGGAATCCATTCGGGAAACTTTACGAGGACCAGCGAACCTGTTGAACTTTTACACATCGCACTTAAAGAAATCATTTTGAGCTGTATAAAAAGAATCCTTACCGAAACACATAATTGATCCTCCGACTGTTTTCACCGTGAGTTGCAAGTACGTGAGTTGATATCGCTTTCCAATTGCACGTCGGATCAGATGATTTCGATTTGAAGGAAAAATATCAACTTTGGTTTCATCAACAAAAATCACTCGGGCCCAATCATCGATTGTCCAATTTGAATAGGTTCGAGCAAATTGAAGGCGCTGCCTCCTGTGTTTGGCTGTCATCATAGGCTTGAAAGCAGGTCTTCTAGTATACAATGCTGCTTGAAGTAAGCGTCGATGCAAGGTCCAGCGGGAAATATTCTTGTTTGAAGTTTGTTTGAAAAGAATGACTCCATCGTTCAACGTCAAATTCGGATCCTTTTTGAAAGCCCCCGTAAGGAATCGGTCTTCATTCTTTGTTGTAATCCTCGGCCGTCCCTTTTTCCTACATCTGTGCACATTTCCAGACGCATTCATTTTTGCCATGACAAGAGAAACTGTTCTGGGCGTACATCCTAAGCGGCGAGCAACGTCTTGTCGTGGCATTCCTTCCTTCCTTGCCTCGACGATCCTTTCTTTATCCGCAGTTGAAAAGTACGCTCCCGGCATCTAAAAAAAAAATAAAATGGTACCAGTAAATATGAAGCGAACGAAAATAATAAAAATTTTTGCAAATGGGAAAAGACTTTTGCACAATGATTTTCAGGGGTGTTTTGACAATTATATTTTTTTCTCAATGAATAAGTGTTGTATAGCGATAACGTTTGTGTAAATAAATTGTACATATATTTGTGTAACTAAAACTATTAAGGGCTTAAAGAGCGCCATGAACTTTATCAAAGAAAATTGATGAAACTTTTTAGAAAAGTAAGTGGGACAAGACTTTTGCACCACCGTATAAATAAAACCTTTCTTTGCGTTCATTCGACCCCAAAGTTTTGTTTGCAAGGCCAAAAATTACACATTGCTAGTTTTGTACTTACAATTTTCGAAGGTGTTTAACTGTTTTTAACCCATGTTTAACTCGATGATGATCTGTGGGAACAAGAAAACCAGCTAGATCTTCTCGCAAAAAGTTTGGGATCTTTCGAAAGGGAGGCCCCGATTCAGCAATTATTGGATCGATGGAATCTTCAGGGTAGTTTGTTTTATGCGTATCGAATAACGTGACGTGAGCATTGGTTTTTCATCATCAAATTTTGAGGACTTAATATGGTTTCGACCTTTATAAGGTGACGGAGGCTCAAGGTGAAGGAGTGTGACTGAGCTCTGGATCAACATATCGTTGATCGTTTCAACAGACCCTAATTAAACTTCAACGTATCAGTACAACCGTTTCAGTAGTTTCAAGGATGATCTGTCAGAATAAGAAAACCAGCTCGATCTTCTCTCAAGCAAACTGTCAAATTTCTCACTAGCTCTTCACAAAAAGGTGTACCAGTCCATTCTTATTCATTTCTCTGTTCTTCACCACAAAAAACTGCTTGTAAAACTATCAGCAAATCGACCATAAAAAGAGTCCACCTTTTTTTCAGTTTCAAAGCTTTTTGTTGCGCCTTAAAATTTCTGATCGGATTAATTCCTAAAAGTGATGCCGTTTTTCTTGCTTTTTTATAGAACAAACTTTGAACAGTTTGCATAGAGGTAATCTATTCTTTGTGACTCAAAAAAAGAGTTGGCTCGTTTTACGACCATTCCCGAAATTGAGGATATATTTCGTTTCGCGACCTTTACTCTTATCTCACTGTTCCCCTACTTCAGCGGCGTCAAAGAAATGAACAGGTGAAGTCTTCTTCATTTGCACAAATTTACTGCCTTTTGAAATTTCTAATGACTTTATGGTTTAGAGAAATGTTTTTTTCAAACCGGCACTTGTTAGCTTTCTCGTAATCTTTGCGCAAATCGAGGCCCATCAGTCAGTATTTGAGCGTTTGTTAAATCCAAACAGCAATAAAATATACTAGAATAGATTTTGAGCTGCTAATCCTTACATACCTAAACCGTGTTTACTTTGAAAAAAGGTCTGATTGAATTATCAAAGGACTTACCGCTTGATCTACCAAGAATAATGCTATACTAAGAAAAGATCTGTGCAGTTTCAATCATCCAAATCACTCACCGCAAGAATGTATGTTTGAGAGAACGAATGAGAATCGACGAATCGAATCATTTTCCCTTGCTTCCCAATGTCCTTTTATATTGTACCGATGGAGCCAAGCAACACATTGACATTATCTACACTGATCTAAAGCAAGGTATGCTATTGATAGAAAAGGGAAAGAAATTCAAGCATTTCAACAGAGATTATAAAGAGTTTAGGGAAAGTGTCCAGCAGATATGTGTTCATATCGGTGATTGTAACAGTGCTCGAAAGGGGCTTTGGAAAATAAAAAGCAGCGATCGTACAAATAAAGCATTGCTAAATGCTGTTTTTGTTTTGTTTCAAACACAGAATTTGTCAAAACTTTAGCGTATCGTCATTATTCACTCAGATTGTTGTGCAACTGAGCTAGTCAAAAAACAAAAATTCCCATTAAACGCTTTATTGTAAAAACTAATTCTGGAATCCATCTTCAAAGAGATTATTATCCGGCAGCCTTTGCAATACAGAGTCCCCTTGCTGGGCCGCATGGAGCAGTTGTTGGTGGACAAAGAGAGCAAATCTCACATGGAGTGGCCGCAGAATTGTATGGAGGGGAATTGTTGGTCATTCCACTGAAAACAATAAATACTTGAGTTTGAAATCACTATTCGGTTCACTCATTTGTCACAGCCTCCTTACCCGTTTGTTTGAAGAAGACAAGTGATACGATAAGTGCTTGTGTAATTCTTGTAAGCACAACCGATTGACAAAGCATTCTCACCAACAAACTAAACAATTCTTTTAATTACAACAAGTGAGTCACTCCTTTTACCATCCAAACTTGATTTTGATAATGCTGATCTCTGGTGATCGTTGTCGACAATTTGTATTGATAATTGAAGGTTGGAACTCCAGTTGAGGTCAAATATCCATACCACCAATTGTTCCATCCCTCCTCAACTGTAACCCGTCAAGTATCAAAAACCAGTCTTTATCTCATAGTCAGTGCATATAAATCAAAAACCTACACATTTGTTGTCCAGTAATTGTGTTGACTCCAGCTGTACCCGCCCAGAATCCAACGTTGATTTCTCCAGCTCCAAATGTATCTCCACGAGCATCCATCCATTGTGCAGCTGTTGTTGCAAGTGTGGCATTCCATTTCTGAAAGCATCTCTTAACGCTTTTTCATAACAATCACTCACCAATGAATAGAGTTTCTTTGCCGGTGGCCAGAAAGAATTTGACTAAAGAATTCAGATCAAAAAGATATCGAATGAAGGAATCACCGGATTCGACGAGTTGTGCCAAGACTGACGACCCCAAGCGACATTCGAACGGAGTTGATTGACTTGCTAAAAAGGGTTTGACCCAAGATATTACGAATGCCATTTTGTATCTGCTTCACCCATTCGAATCACCTACCGCAAGAATGTAGTTCGCGACAGCAGCCGTATAGGGGACAGCCGTTGCTCCAGTTCCTGCAGCTGCTCCGATGACTGGGGGACCGTATCCAGAAATATTTGTGGCTGCGGTGGCTAAAAGTAATAATTGGCACATTCAGCTTTATTTTAGTTACCAGCTACAAGAATCGCAAGAATTGAAAGAACACTCATTTTTGAGAGAATGGATGAGAATCGACGAATCGAATGATTTCCCTTGCTTCCCGATGTCCTTTTATATTACTTTTTGTACCAGATTCCGATGATCTTTCTCTTTAATCCCAGCTAATATTTCGTTTTTCTATTCAATCCTAAATTTCTCCCCAAATCGTTCGATGATTTGTGACTTCTGAAAGGGAACACACAAAATGAACCCGATCAAATCCAATTGATCTTTCGTTCCTCGGATAAACAGGGCCAGTGAATTCAAAATGATCTATTCAAGGTGTTCTATATTGGGATACAGATCAAACAACAGCCAAAATCACTTTTCAATGTAAACTGCGGATTTTTGGGAAGAATCGAATGAAGAAAATTAGATGAGGTGGGACTTTTGAGCTAGTGAAATGATCCATGTACTTTTTTAGATCAAGTTTAATGTCTTTTGTTTGTTGAATAAAGTGCTGGTTTCTCTTGGTTTTATTGAACTGCTTTTTTCAAGGTTACGGTAAAAAAGAACAAGAACAAGATTTACGCTAACGAAAAATTTAGGTATTTACTCTAATCATGTTGTAGAAGCCACAGTCCTCACGGCATCCTTTTCGGGATTGTCTTCTCTATAGAAACACACCATCATAAGACCGAAATTTGAATGTTAAAGTAAGACAAAGACAAAATTACCCAATGCTTAGGCTTTGTAGAGCGCTAATTGTAGAGAAGATGAAATGAAATCGACTCTCGCTTCCAACATCGAAAAGTGACTCATAGAAGGGGAACATGGGGAGAAAAATAACAATATAGTAGAAAATGTTCATCGAGTGACTGATCAGCATCTAAAAGAAGTTTTGACGCTTTCTCTTCTAGATTTCTTCTAAATTTTTCACCTGGTCTTTGTGACTTCTCGTCTTTCTTTAGTTTACCTGAATGCCGAGTCGAAGATCTGCTCGATTTTGTCGCACATCGTTGACGCTCTTTTGCTGTAAGTCATTTCTAAAAAGCTTTACTAAGCAAATCTACCGTTTCTTTCATTTCTATCATCACTTTTCGCAATTTTCTTAATGTGATCAGATCGATAAGTGCTGCAAAGACTGAGGCACCAGAAAGTACCCACCAACTATCGTCGAAAATCCGATCTGAACCAAAGGTTTGCAAAATTAACAAATACCAATTCCAAGCGTCTCTGAGACGTTTTACTCTTACGCTTTACGTTTTTAAATCCAATCACTCACCAAACCAATTACCGAAGGGCAAGCGACGGAAAATATAAAGACTTGTATCGTATATAAATGCACTAAACGTGTACAAATTTGCGTAGACCTTTCCAACTAAAAATCGATTGCAAAACAAAAACTAAATAAGGCAGACTTTGCCCAATCAACGATCCGTAAGCAAAGACGGGTATGAGAAAGAGTATCACCGGCTGGATTTGATAACCCTTTGAGAATATTTCGAAATATCGACCATCAAAGTGAAGCGCGAAGAACCTGAATTGGTTGTAAAAAGTGAAGAGTTGGTTGAGGACCTGCTGATAGTGATCAAATGTTCAAGACATTGGCAAGTGACAGCTGTGCCTAGATAGAAAGTGCTGAGAATCTGGTTGAGCATGGCTCCACTCCATGGATAATTGGCCATCGAGAGACAATGAGGCTTCAATGGAGGCTCATCCCAGAAGAGAGCTGGAGCTGTCCATCTAAAGTATGTTTGCCATAACTGTGCTGAACAATAGCCACAGAATTTTTGTTAGGCAACTGAAAATGGCTAATAGTGGGCTGGATAGTTCAAAAATTTGTCGAGAATGAGTCTGATAGTGACCGATTCTTTCTCTAATAACAAGCCAGCTACAGATCCAGAGTAAGACTCCTGGAAGGCTCATGCCTGTCAGTAAATGATGTCTGTCTGATGGCACAGAATAGCCCGGTCAGAACACAGACTCACAATCAGAACCAAGAAACTAAAATAGCTTTCAAAATCCTAAGCCTAATTGTATTGTAAAACGATTGCGGGACATTTGATACGCGCCCCGCCTCTTTTGCCATTGGCGATCTTACTTCGAGCTCAATCTTGGTGTTGGGCTGTCCAATTTCACTAGTTTTTGTACGAATCGACAGCGAAAGGCTTGGCGCATCTAATGATACCAAGAATATTGAAATTGAACAGCCCAACTTCAAGAAATTTGAGCTCAAAGTTAGATTGCCAATGGCAAAGAAGGCGGAGCCGATAACCTTGTAAATCAACCACAACTTACTTCAAAATACAACTCGCAAAGTAAACATCGAGTAGCCCTCGGACAGCTCGCAACGCGGTATTCCATAAAAGATTCACTTTCACATTCGCACCCATTCTCGTGCTTCGATAAACAACGCAGAAAGCCCACAAGTTAGCCGTGCAGATAGCTTGTCCTAACTAAATAGATCAATCATATATCATGACTTATACCCTTACAACAATGGCACAAAAAGCGACATATGTATCGTCATCAGAATCTGTATGACAAACTCGGTCTTGGCATGTAAAGTAGGCAAACTGATAGAGGGTTTTATTTGAACCCGGAGGCATTTTTGGAGGATCATCCATATTGTAAACGCAGTCCACATCAATGACTATACCAAATTTGCTCATCTAAAGATTGGTGTACAAGTAAAACCGATTAAAACAATCTATTCAGCTTATAATCCGTAACAAGAAGAATATGATAAAACATAAAAAGGTATCTTTCTAACGTTATGAAAAGAATCTGAGCAAAGTAAAGTTGTAAAATAGAAAGAGAACTGGTTCTACTCAAATTGAACAAAAACCAAAATGGCCTTTGAGAAATAAAAGGCGAAACAGTAAAGGTAATAATTTATATACTTTGCCCCATAATTTGAAACAAAGTACCAAACGGTAATTGCCAGAACCCTTCTTGAAAAAATTGAGGAAATAGCAAGATTGATTTTTACTTCCGTTCCTAATAATGAGTAGTGCTCATGTTTGAAAATCGAAAGTTCAACTTTATAGCAAACTTTAAGACTGTAGAACTGTAATATTAACCCGATTTTCTTTGTAGTAGCTTCTATTCAATGAACAGATCAGTTAAGCTTTAACTTTTTGTCGGTATTATAAACCATCTTTCCGCCAAACCAAATCATGCAAGCGTGTCCCGGATCTCCAAATTTCCAGACAATTCAAAGTCCTCTAAACTTTTTGATGAGACCTCAAGAGCCGCTTTGAAACAACGATTTTTCTAAAAGTATGAGTTTAACCTGGTTTGACTAGATATAAACTTTAAAACAATCCTTAGAACTTAAACAAATCTGCAAAGGAAAAATTGGAGAGATAGGATTAGCACTGACCTACAGAAACAAGCTCTACATAAACATCTTCCAAGACATTCTCATCTTCGGTTAAATCATCGCAAGTCTGCTTGAAATGCTCGACCATCCATTCTTTGTACAACTTATAATTGTCTTTAGCAAAGTCATAGAGAGTCGTGAGATGGATCTGAAATTGGAATGAAAAGCCAGTGTCAAAACAAAACCTGAAAAAGTTATAGAATAAATAAAGTCTCCTTTACTTACCAAACAATAGTGAAAAAAGGTGGGCTGTCCGGTTCAGAATCTTCATTTCCGCGCTCTGTACTTTTGCTTCAAATCCTACATTCTGTTAAACTAAAGCCAGCCGAGACACTCAAGGTTGAAAATGATCTGAAAGCTGATTTCAAAGCCTTTGAAACTTCACAAACTACCCGCTCTGTAAGCTTAATTGCAAGCACAAGTTATTATCAGATTAAAATTTTGTAGCGTTCTTGTGCACCCACTTTTGTTTTGCTCTGTTCACGCATGTTTTTTGAACTTTGACGGTGAACTATCCGTTCACCGCCAAAACTTCAATAAAAAAGGCATTCGGTTGAATTCAAAGCTGAAAATAACAAGCCCCAACTGAACGAACAATTTAAAAGCTAGCTGAAATATTCAATTTTGCTTTTTCTGTATCCAGTACTTTCAAAATCGATCCAGAAATTTGCGGTCAATCCCATGAATATAAAACGAAATCGTGATGACAATTTTTGATTATCAAATTCCGCAAATGATTTTGATTCTACTTTTTTGTGGAGGCAAGTTTTTTACCCAATAGCTAAACTCATTTTTAAGTGAAATCACTCGTGGAAGCGGCCACTTGTTATGATTGTGTCTATGGCTTCAAACCCTGTGATAGCTGCCAGAACATAACCACTAGTTTGTTTGAAGAAGAAATATGATTTGGATTGAATTATATTTCTGAATCTGAAAACGGATCGAATTGAATGCTAAACAATAAACGCATGCTTTTCAGACGACGACCTTCACGGAATTTGGTCCGATTGGTCGGATTACACAGCTTGTAGCCATACCTGTGGCCTCTACGGGAAGAAGGTTCAGCGAAGAACGTGTGCTTCTTGGTCTTATGGATGTCCGTGCACGTGGGTTTTTTTGGGTTTACAATGTTTTTCAGCTGTTCATATTTGAAACTTATGGTTGTTTCAGCTTTGTTTCCAAAAATAGAATTCAATGCCATAACTTCAGTGGAGCCTACTCTCGCGTTGTCCCCTGTCCAATTGGCCCTCTTTGCACAAAAGGCTTCGCTTGCAATCCGCCCTGGAAATCGGTTCGAAAATGTTCTTTCATTTGTTTAGTCCTTTTTAGTACACTGAGACCACGTGTATTCACGTGGATCTTTGTACTTCACGAACTCTTTGTGGACCTGTTACACGAGATGACGATTATGCTGAACCGTATCCATGTCGCGGCGTGAGGGGTTTGTTTATAAGATCATATAACTGATAGATATGAGCCCCCTAACTAGTGAAAGAGATTGATTTTAGAGATCCAAAGCTGCAATCCATGCCCAGTTGAAGGTTGGTTGTTCACTTAATATCTTCAAATATCAATATTTAGGTGTTTGGTCAGCTTGGTCCAACGTCGGAAAATGTTCGGCGACGTGTGGTCTTTGCGGAGTGGTTTATCAGAATAGAACGTGTGAATCAGCGAGCTATGGATGTCCTTGCACGTGCGCTTAAATATCAAAATGTTGATCAAAAGCCTACAGTTCTTCTTTTAATAAAATGATTTCAGTGGCCCAACCAGTCAACACTACGCTTGTCCCAAGAAGCCTTGCCCGAAGGCGCCGCGCTGCTGTGGACAAGCACCGAATAATGTTGTGGTAATCGTTTTGGATTTGGATTTTCATCTATCTAGACCCTTGTGCTATGGCATTCAAATTTTGCAATCAAATTGCTTAGGTGAAAAACCTGGTGACAAAGACGAACCAATGTGGCCTACAACTAGCACCCGACGAGGTTCTCCATCCCATTCACACCTATCACCCCGTCATTTGTCCATAAAATTTGTTTCCTTGTTATACATACCATTGCTTAACTGATTAAGCCTGTTCACAGCAGAATTGGCCTGAAAGATTAAATTGTTCATTGAGCTAACTGCATTCTACTTTTCAACGTCCGAATCCTAAGACAATCGGCGGTTTTTGTTTATGAATTAGCTTGCTGGGGCTGTCCACCTGCGATTGCGTCCACGCTGAAAAGTTCTGATATGATTGAAAATTTTCAAAACTACTAACTTCCTCTCTCTTTTGTCGAGCAGAAATGATTTCATCTTCTCCAATTCTCTTCATAAAATTGATCGTGACATCTTGACCTATTGACCGTCTCTCCTAGATGGCTAAACATCTTGAACACATTGTATGCCTTTTTGAATGGATCAGCTCCCCGTCTTGATCCAACATCAGCCGCGTGTATCTTTTCCAGTCCGAACTTTACATCGCCCCTTAGCAGAGGAAATTGCTAATAAATGTTTGCTTTTGGTGAAATTTAAACTGAAATTTATTTTGAAAAATTTTCCTAAACAAATAGTAACGATAACAAAGATAGCACAACGATAGCCAAAGTCTCAATAGATAGATCAAGAGATCGGAAATTAATAACACGTCAGAGTAATAGAAATAACCCGAAATAAAGCAAGAATACGATAATTTACTAAGAATCTGCTTCAGCATTCTGCTTGGTCTGCTGCTTTTGGGTGAGTTCGAAATAGGAGCCACGCTGAGCCATCAACTCTTCGTGACTACCTGAAAAGACAGTAGTTCAGTTTATCCATAAAAACCTTGATAAACAACTTCAATAACTGATTTTTCCAACATTTTTCATTACCTTGTTCAATCACTGTTCCCCCGCTGACCACCAAGATACGATTCGCTTTCACAATTGTTGATAATCTGTGAGCGATCACAATACAAGTTCGACCCTCCGAAGCCTTATCCAATGCTTCTTGAACTAACTGAAAATGGATTGAATTGCAAAATTAGGCAAACATGTGTACTTTGTACTCTTTTTACTTTGACTTCATATAAATCTTACCTTTTCACTCTCAGTATCCAGGGCACTTGTTGCTTCATCAAGTAGGAGAATCTTCGGATTCCTGATAAGCGCTCTTGCAATGGCAACTCGTTGCTTTTGACCTAAAAGTCGTGATTCACTTTTGCAGGAATTCTTTTTACCTCCAGAAAGCTGAGTTCCTTTATCACCGACTCGAGTTTCATAACCATCTGGCAGTTCACTAATGAACCTAAACAACATTATTTTTAAATCAATTGGTTTAAATACTTGTGAATGTTAGCTTTTTGAGCAGCTTCCACAATTTCTGTGTCAGGAATGGAATCTTTTGGAAGTCCGTAGACAATATTTTCCTAAACAATAAGATTATTGTTTGTACAAATTAACAAACCTTGATCGAGCAATCGAAAAGAATCGGTTCTTGAGAGACGAGAGCCATGTGTTTTCGGAGATGAAGGGGATTCAGTTGGCGGATGTCTTCATTGTCAACTTCCTGGAATTGAGAAATGAAAGAATTTGCTAAAATTCGGTTCTCTATTGAATAAGTTCTAGCATTTCTCCATTCTTCAAGTTCTCACCAAAGTTCCCATCGTCGGATCGTAGAAACGCTCTAACAGTTGAACCACGGTACTCTTCCCGCATCCTGATGAACCAACCAAAGCAAGCGTTTCACCGGGATTCACTTTCAGGGAAAGGCCTGAAGTTTTTGTTTTTAAAAATCTTGATCGTACCAACCTTTCAACACTTGAACCTCCGGTCGCTGAGGATAGCAAAAATGAACGTCTTTCAGCACAATTGCTCCTCTTATTGGCTAAATTCATATCTTTTACTGGTTTCAAACTTTGGCCTACTGTCATTTTTCCTCCAGTGCTGAGATTATCAATTTGTGGCTTTTCTTCGAGCATTTTGAAAATTAGACCGGCTGCGAATTTGGCTTTTGCGTACTCGGGAAAATACGCGGATGCTAAACCGATCGAAGAGGATGAGAACTGGATGGCCATCATCACTCTGAATGCGATTGGTTTAACTTTGGCTTTTGTTAGTTTCACATTGCTGGCTTAAAAATATTCAACGGCATGTTCTATTCTACAGTCAAGATAAAGATTGTTGAGCTTTTCACCTCATGACACTAATCGGATTTGACACATGCTCCTCCATGATCAACCAGCCTCCAAAACCGAACTCAGCGGCGAAAATGAAGAACATCAATGAGTTAGCAAGTGCGGAAACCATTCCCTTTAACAAATTTTGATTCATTTCTCAAGTTCTTTTACCTGCATAATAGCTCGATTCGTGCTTGTTCTGTGTGGTCCGTCAAGGAAAGCGCAGAAATTCTTGTGCAGAACTTTTTCCAACGTTAGCGCTTGCACGGTTCTAATGTTCTCTACGGCTTCCATTGCGATCTAGAAATTCTCCCTAATATAATAAATTCGCGAATTTCCAACTTTTCCAGATGCTTCAAGATCCTTTGCAAGAGAGGCATTCTTGTTCTGGAACATTCGCATGTGAAGCGTTTGACCAACACCAAGAATTGGCATTAGGGCAAGCACTGAAAGTTCAACTTTATTTGTTTAGAAAGTGACCCAACTTGCTAACGCCATTTGCCATCCGTAGTAAAAAGCTATCACAATTCCAACGATAAGTGAGACAGCAGCATTAAAAACCGAACCCAAGCGGTAATCAATGGCCTGAATTAAAGTTTATTAATGGATTACTGTAGAAAACTAACGCTATCAAAAGATCTGTTTACTACATTTGACTATTCTGACGCCATTAAAGCTGTAGTCAGCTTGAACTAAACTACAGGATCTTTAACTGAAAGTGACTGTAGTCCAATTAAAGCTTTCAGATTGTTTCCAGATTGAACTGGACTACGGTACTTTAGCTAGTATCATACTATAAGCCAGTCAAAGGTACCATAGTCCAATTAAAGGTACTGTGGTCAAGTTAAAGGTGAAGTTACAGGTGCTCATAGGTTGAGTACTAAATCCGGTACCCTTCATTTCGTTAACTTATAGAACGAGTCTCAAACTACCAAGTACCAAACAATTTCTTTCATTATAAACGTTTAACGTTTACTTTTTGTCATTTTAAAAAATTTTTTAGTATTTTAGAATAATCTGCGAGAACGAAAACAAGTATTTTAAAAATATTGAGAAAACCGCTAAACGGATTATTCTGAAATTTTGGTTGTAACTTTTTGTGCGCTATCTTTTTTATTATGTCATCAAAATAGGTTTAATTGGAAGAAACGGCTCAAATCGCATCATTGGACCTTGTCATTTTTGAACATTCGGCTTCTTTCTAATGAAAAATCTTCAAAACAAAGCCTTTCAGAAATTTCCAAAAGTCATTTGCAAGAGAAATGATTTGGCTATCTAACCAACACACCGTATTTCATTTGATAGCTTGAGACTTATTCAATTAGAAAATGAATTTGGGTAAAAGACTTACAAAAACTTGCTAGTACTCAACCTAATATATCCCAGTCTCCTACCAAATTTCAGCACCTTCTGAACTTCTGAGCTGATTGTATTATAGATAAATCACTAACCGCTTTCACATTCGGCGCATCAGTTGCCAATCTAGTGGATATCTTGCCGGCATCGTGAAGTGGATGATCGAAATAGGCTCCATCTTGTCGAACAACATTTCGAAACACTTTTGATCGAAGCCTCATTGTGAGCCGTTCAGCGGCAATCCCATAGAAAGTAGCTTGCAGAAGCATTGTTGTTCCCTGAATTGCTGCCAAAACAAGAAATCCCAATGACCACAGATGTCCTTGTTCACGCATCTTCTCCCGGTCTGGCTCAGCGAATACCTGAAAGGGTTTTTAAACGATTAGACTCTTTTGATACCTGCATAAGCTGAGTAAAGAATAGGGAAAAGACTGGGAAAACGGCTCCTTGGATGAGGCAAGCAAATGTTCCGACCAACAACAGCCACCACTCCGGACGAGCGTATTTGAGAATTTTGAAGAGACTTTGTTCTTGAGCTCCTTCTTCTTGTGTTTCTCTCTTCAATCTCTCGATGTCTGATTCTTTTTTCTCCATTTTCTTTTCTGTCTCTTCTTCGAACTCCAAATTGTCACTTTTGACTGTCGATCCACGGGAGAATTGTCTTGAGATTTGACGTGAAGCTCGTCGCGGTGACGCCACTTTTCCTCCTGAAAAGTAAGATTATTGATTACCATAAGAATCCACGAGTTTAAACTGTGCTTAACGTCAGAAACCAGTAAAGTTCGAGTTTTTCTATTTCCATTCCCAACCTTTCTCTTCGACGTCAGCGAAGACTTGAGCATTGACGAGTTCATGGTACAATCCCTTCTTGGCCAACAATACATCATGAGTTCCCACTTCAATCACTTGTCCATCTTTTAGAGCAATAATTTTGTCGGCATTTC